CCATATTGCATATTCATTGCAGAAAAAGTACTAAATGGATAAGAGGCGCTATTTAGCACGTTTTAAAGACCAAATCCTTTTAACACGCTGTTGATAGATCAGTTTGTACATTTTTTAGCATGCGCAGTGAAATAGCTCACGTTTTTATACACGCAAACCTTTGATAGATCCGGCCCTATATGTACAATTTGGAGGTGTGTGCACTTCCCAGCTGTAATACATGTTATGTGATGTATAAATGTGCAGATTTTCTTTCAGAGGGAATATAGTTTGTTTTGATCAAATCTCGATTTGCTCATATTTTAAGCAAAGGCAGACACAAGATCATATTAGCATAACAGCTAATATGCCAAAAGAATCATACTAATTTAAGCCTACTAGGTGTGCTTCAAGGTTGTTGTCCTGGTATGAAGACAACATTGCTATTCTTCTTTTGAATCCTAAAGAAATCAGACTACTGATTCAGTTGTCTTTAGATTTATTTTATTTAAGACAACAGCCTGGAGAACTTCAAGGTATAATGGAGGAGTTTTGCAACTTTTTTAAAAGACCTACCTTCTCCTATTAAAAAAAAGATGCACATGCACAACCCTGTTCCCGTTCCAGAGAGCGAACGCCTAATAAACGAATACGAGAACATGCACCAGCCCATCTCCTCATGCATCCTTCTTCCCATTGGACCTATGATCACTGCTTTTTGTTCCCCGTTGGTCACGTAACTCCTCCTCCACATGCCTGCACCATTTTTGTTATTAGTCGCCGCTATGGGGCTGCAACAGCGGGCCGCTGTGTTACCGAGGAGAGCTGACACAGGAGAGCTCTCCACGCAAAGCACTATGGGATATATCTGCCTCTTCTGAGGCCTTTCATTCCTTCTCATACACTTTATGAACACTTTCTCTTACGACGCTCGGCCATTTTCAAAAAACCAAACTTAATATATTACTGACAAAAGTGAAAAGGAATCCCTCACAGCTGCAACTAATTCCTCATCACTGGTGTTAAAGAGACCTATGGACATCAAATCTCCATCCTCTAAGCTAAACTTTCTACGACCCCAACTGTTAAGATTGTTTTCACAAATACATTCAAAACTAGACTTAATAAAACCCAGGAGAGGTAAAACAAAGACCTACAAATAGAAATAGGCTAACAAACAGTTTCCAGTAAAGATGTCTTACCTGACAGCCTGAGGGGACGTGTCAAAGTAAATGTTTCTGTTGTTCTGGGCATCTGACACGTAGATGGTGGCCAGGTCAAAATCCTGAAAATGCAAAAGGCACTTGTTAAAAGACAGATCAACGTTTTATCCTGTTCTCTGCCTAAGCCTCCTGAGAGAAAAAAAAAAAAAAATCAGTTTGCATTAAAAATGCAGGTAACTGCCCTTTGCACTCTGAGGAAGGTCCTTCCGGCTGTCCAGTTTCTTGAGGAAATGACACAGCAAGACCCACAAAAACTCTTCAGCAGATGATGCATTGATTCTTTAGCCTCATGAGACCATCCTGATCTTGCGAGCTATCAAGGTTTCACTCGCTAATCAGTCTGGAGACTCTCCCTTGAAGAAAATTTGGAG